CCTCTGCGGCCCTTTGTAGTCCGAGTCCCACCGCCCGCCGCCCGGAAACCGCTGGCTCGTGTCACGTGACTCACGACCCGACCCCGAGCCGGAGCCCAGCCCGCTGGGGGAAGAGGATCAGATCGCCGTTCGAGAATCTGAAGGTGTCCTGGTCCTTGGGGGGTCTCTGGGGAGTTATATTCCAGGCTACGGTTTTCTAGGTTCTGTCAGGTCCTCAGGACTTCAAGAAGCGGGCCCTCAGGGTCGGGGAAGTGTCTGGGTTTGGGGTCTCGGGGAGGATGACTGGGCCTGGGATTTCGTGGGTGGGAGGCCTGGGTGCGGGGTCTCAGGGGAGTAGCCCACTAGCGCCAATTTGCCTTCCCTGTCAAGGATCTCTTGGACAGGCCCATCCGTACTGCGAGCCATGGGGGCTCTCTGGACCCTCCTCCTGGCCTTGGCTGCAGGCCTGGCCGCTGGCCGCCCACCTAACATCATGCTGATCTTTGCTGATGACCTGGGCTATGGGGACCTGGGCAGCTATGGGCACCCCAGTTCCACCACCCCCAACCTCGACCAGCTGGCTGCGGGGGGGCTGCGGTTCACAGACTTCTATGTGCCGGTTTCTCTGTGCACACCCTCCCGGTAAGCAAGGCCCGCCTGCCTCGTTCCTCCCAGATTCGCTCTGGATTGTCGTGGGGAGGAACAGGGTCTGTCTCTCTGTGGGGAAGTCTCTGCATCTGCCTTCCTCCCTTCTCTCCCCTCGTGTTCCACTTCGTTGACTCTCAGACTCTGTGACTTGTCCTGCAGGGCTGCCCTTCTGACTGGCCGGCTCCCAGTCCGGATGGGCATGTACCCTGGAGTCCTGGAGCCCAGCTCCCGGGGTGGTTTGCCCCTGGAGGAGGTGACCCTGGCTGAGGTCCTGGCCGCCCAAGGCTACCTCACAGGAATGGCTGGCAAGTGGCACCTCGGGGTGGGGCCGGAGGGGGCCTTCCTGCCCCCTCATCAGGGCTTCCACCGATTCCTAGGCATTCCGTACTCCCATGACCAGGTACGGACCACGGGGGCCTTCAGCCACTCTCCCCACCTGCCTCCCTCAAGTCCCCTGACCCTTGACCCTTCACCAGCCTCACCCCCCAGCCAGACCCCTCAATGGAGCTGCTCCCTCAGGGCCCCTGCCAGAACTTGACCTGCTTCCCGCCAGCCACCCTCTGCAACGGTGGCTGTGATCAGGGCCTGGTCCCCATTCCACTGTTGGCCAACCTGTCTGTGGAGGCGCAGCCCCCCTGGCTGCCAGGACTGGAATCCCGTTATGTGGCTTTCGCCCGAGACCTCATGGCCGAGGCCCAGCGCCAGAGTCGCCCCTTCTTCCTGTACTACGCCTCTCACGTGAGTGACCCTGCCCCACCCTCCTGGCTGCCCCCCAGTCCTACCCAGTGCTAACTCCGCTCTTTGTTCCCAGCACACCCACTACCCCCAGTTCAGTGGGCAGAGCTTTGCTGAGCGCTCAGGTCGTGGGCCATATGGGGACTCCCTGATGGAGCTGGACGCAGCCGTGGGGGCACTGATGACGGCCATCGGAGACCTGGGGCAGCTTGAAGAGACATTGGTCATCTTCACTGCAGACAATGGGTACGCCAGAGGGGCAGCGAGGTGCTCTGTCACAGGCCAGGGCCCTGGTGTCCTTCTACCTCAGCTGCTGGCCAATGACATAGTGGAGTAAGATATCAGAGAGGCTGGCCATGTTCCTGTTACACACACTGCAGCTGGGAGACTGGGGACCACACGTGCATAGAGAGGCTGGTATTGCAGGCCAGCAGGGGACAGGCACATACTGGCCATCTCTGGGCAAGCTTTTAACGTAGAAAGCTTTTAACTTAGGTGGCGGTCACCGTTGGTGGGTCAGGTGGTGGCCCACCATTGGTGGGCTCCTAGCTGCTGATGACCTTCTGTGTCCCAGACCTGAGACAATGCGCATGTCCCGGGGTGGCTGCTCTGGCCTTCTGCGATGCGGAAAGGGAACGACCTTCGAGGGCGGTGTCCGAGAGCCTGCCTTGGCCTTTTGGCCAGGCCACATCACTCCTGGTCAGTCCTCAGGCCCTCTCCTTATGGAATCCTGGCCCCACCTCTCCAACTTTGATGGTAAACTGAGTCACTGAACAAACCTCTGCTCCCAGGCGTGACCCATGAGCTGGCCAGTTCCCTGGACCTGCTGCCCACCCTGGCAACCCTGACTGGGGCCCCACTGCCCAATGTCACTTTGGATGGCTTTGACCTTAGCCCGCTGCTGCTGGGCACAGGCAAGGTAAGGCCCCCTGGGTGCTCGCCCTCCCCCGGGGTGAGTGTGGACCATGTCTGCGGGTCTGTGTTGAGTGGCATCCAAGTGGTGCCACCTTTCGGGGTCCTAGGTGGGCGAGAAGGGGGTGCTCATCCAGGGCCTAATCCAAGGACTGACAGCTCTGGGTATGTGCAGAGCTTGGGGCCCTCCTACCATGTGACTCCTGACTTGGCCCCCAGAGCCCTCGGCAGTCTCTCTTCTTCTACCCGTCCTACCCAGACGAGGTCCGTGGGGTCTTTGCTGTGCGGAATGGGAAGTACAAGGCTCACTTCTTCACCCAGGGTAAGTCCCTCCCCAATCCCTCTCCCCAACCCTGCTGACACCCCCAAGCAGCCCCAGAGCCCTACTCCCCCTCTTGCTCTTGCCTGTGCACCGAACTGACCCCTCCCCAGGCTCTGCCCACAGCGATACCACCCCAGACCCTGCCTGCCATGCTGCCAGCCCTCTGACCGCTCATGAACCCCCTCTGCTCTACGACCTGTCTGAGGACCCTGGTGAGAACTACAACCTCCTGGGGGGTGTGGCTGAGGTCACCCCAGAGGTGCTGCAGGCCATGAAACAGCTTCAGCTGCTCAAGGCCCAGTTTGACGCAGCTGTCACCTTCGGCCCCAGCCAGATGGCCCGGGGGGAGGACCCTGCCCTGCAGATCTGCTGCCAGCCCAGCTGCACGCCCCACCCAGCCTGCTGCCACTGCCCAGACCCTCAGGCCTGAGGGCATGGGCCTGTCCCTATGAGGGAGCCCCAGCCCAGGGCCCCTCTCCCCACCCAGGAATCTGATGGGTCATTATTGTGAGTAGGCTGCAGTGTATGAAGGTAGTTTGTACCTGATAATGTAATAACACCAGCTGAGACTTGTGATAATTCATCTATCCTGGGGTAGCCCTGTGAGGTCGGTGGGGTTCCCCTATAGCACAAATGAAGAAATGGAAGTACAGGAAGTTCAGGACTAGTCCAAGGTCAGCCAGGAGGTTGGGCTGGCTCTGGATCCTGTATCCTGGCCCCAGAAACTACTCAGCCAACGCGGTGATCTGTGTGTGTGTGTGTCAGTACACGTGTGCATACATCAACCACGGGAGTGTGGGCACATCTCAGGAGCAGGACTTGGTGCTTTTAAGAGTCAGGAACAGTGTGGGGAGCCAGTAGACCCTGAAGAGATGGAGCACCGGGAAGAGGCAGGTGTTTCCCAGGAAGAAGCATTCCTAGAGGTACAGGAACTAGACTGCCTTGGTTCTTATCAGAAACCTGTCTGAAGGCAGGTGATGAGTTGCACATTTCAGGTGGGGATAAGGGGTCTGGGGCTCTGCCAGCTCCTAGGAAGTCAGCTCCCAAGACAGCCCTGCTGTGCCCCCTCCACCCTCGCGAGACTGCATTTCACCGACACACACACTTCCTGTCTCTGTCCTCACCTTTGACCCGGTAAAAGCCATTCTCTACCCAGCAGACAGTGATTTCAGGTTGGGTTGGAGCATCTACTTTTGCTCACAACTCCACAGGCTTCATTATTATACTCAGAGTAACTTCCCGCCCCAAAAGCTCTTTCAAACTTGGAGTGACCCACCTGCCTTCACCCATACCCTCTTGCCTCTAAGCCCTGTTGGGGTGGGCTGGCCTGGCTGTTCCCTCCACCAGCAATGTTCTGCCTCCACCGTTGGCCTCATCTGCAGAGAGGGGCTTCCTGACACCTACTTGCATTTGCATGGTACAGCGTGCTGACATCAGGCCCATGTGTGTGGCCAGGTGGTGAGTCACGCACCAGGCACTCCCTTGGTGTTGATTGAGTGAGAGGAGTGCCGTCTGGATTTGCAGATACTTCCCCATGGCAAACACTGTTTGTTGCCTACCAAAGAGCCACTCCTTCCTTACTAATGGGTCCCCACTGTTTTCAGTGGTGCACAAAATCTCCGTGATCTCAGGGTTGCAGCCTCTCCCTGTCCCAGGAGGGTAGTGACTGGCCTGAGTCACTCACAGTCCAGTGATTGGTCCAAGAGTAGCCTGTGACCAAGAGTCCTGGGGCAGCCCTGGGGCTGAGGACCGTGCTGAGGCAGTCAGGGACCCTGAATGGACATCATGCATCTGCTGAGCCAGTGTCTCCAGCTGCCTACCTGGAGAGCTCCAAGTATAAGAAAATAAACCCTACCTGTTTAAACCACTGCCCGTGGACTGTGGGTCACTTGCAGCCAAAAGCAGCTTTGCTTGAATGTGGCCTGTGTGTGCAGTGTGCTGTGGTGAGGACCCTCCATGTTGTCCATGTGTCATTTCTGTCCCTTCTCATCTGGTTTGGGGGCTGCATTCACCACCCCTCCAATCCTGCCTCCTGTGTCTTAGAGTCATCCCTATAGGGCAGTGGTTTCCTTGGGGCACCAGGCAGCCACTGACACTGGCACAAAGGGGGCCCACATGCACTTGAAATCTGAGTGAAGGTGTTGGCCCCGATGGTGCTTTGGTTCAGTGAGGACAGAGAGGAACTGAAGTGGATGCACGATCTGAGCACCTTATCAAAAGATCAAACAGAGCCAGACGCTGTGGCTTGCACCTGTATTGCCAGCACTTTGGGAGGCTGAGGCGGGAGGATAGCTTGAGCCCAGGAGTTCAAGACGAGATGGGACAACATAGCAAGACCTCATCTCTACAAAAAAAAAAAAAAAAAACATTAGCCAAGTATGGTGATGTGTCCCTGTAGTCCCAGCTACTAGGTAGACTGAGGTGGAAGGATTGAGCCTAGGAGATCAAAGCAGTGGTGGGCTATGATTGCGACTGAGTGAGACCCTGACTTAAAAACACCAAACCCTCCAGCAAGAATTGAATGAATGCTAACACCCTGGCACATCCTGCAGGCACCTTCTCCAGCTCTGTTGGTCCACAAGAGGTGTTAATTGCTGTGTTCTCCCACCAGCACCATGCAGTACCAGGCACAGGGCTGTCAGAGGAGACCCACCCTGCTCCCATGGTGCTTACAGTCTAGCAAAGGAGATGCACTTAGCCCTGGGGTGTCAAATGCACGTGGGGCTTCAGTGTGATGGATGCCACTGCGTCTTGTAGGGTGGGTTGTGAGGATATTGCGAAGCAGGGACACAAGAGAAACTGCGGCTGCTGCAAATGTTCTCTGTCTTGACTGGGGGACCGTGACATGGTGCTTGCATATAGCAAGCCATGTGCTTCAGATGTGCACACTTGGTGATGTCATCGTGTATTTTATGTTTCAATAAGAATTGCCATAGCCGGGCTCGATGGCTCAGCCTGTAATCCCGCGCCTTTGGGAGGCTGAGGTGAGTGGATTGCCTGAGCCTGCGGGTTCGAGACCCGCCTGGGCGGCGAGACCTCATCTCTACAATAAATCAAAAAATCAGCCGGGCATGGTAGTGCATGCCTGTAATTTCGGTTACTTGGAAGGTTGAGGCAGAAGGATCGCCGGAACCCAGCAGGTCTAGGCTACGGTGACCGGGAGCGGCTGCTACACTCCAGTCTGGGCGACAGATTGAGACTCCAACTCAAAAAAAAAAAAAAAAAAAGAATCCATAATAAATGTCACGAAGGGTACCGGGTTGTACAAGAACATAATCAAGGGATAGGAGTGGAGAGAGTACCGAGTCAGTCAAGAATGCTTCCTAGTTGCCTGAGACCTGAAGAGGAGTGTTCAAACCCACCCTCTGCACCCAAGGTTGGAGAGAGAGACAGGTCCTCCCACCCTCCCATTCCTCTTGGTTTTGCTGTGATTCATCTATGAGCAGCAATGCTTTTTTTTCTCATCATCTCAGCTATTTTAGCCTGACGCACTTTCCTCATACAGGCACACACCCTCATGTATATGCGTGTATGTGCATGCCCACATGTGTTTACGAGTACAGGCATTCACACGTGCACATGTGTGCATTTGTTCACACACACATTCACTGTTACTACGGCCTCAAACACTGTCCATGATGTCCCTGCACTTTCTTCTCTGCTGCTGTTGATTGTAACAGCCAACCCCTTTCTCTGTTCTCCTCAGGTCATCTGTTCACCAGGACAGCTTTCCATTCCCACAAAGCAGCTTCCTCAGGGAGCCACACATCCTCTGACTAAGGGTGTTTTGGAGCAGCCAGAACATGTTGATTCTGTGGTTTCCCTTCAGGTGTGTTAGGAAGGAAGCGGAGATCTCCAGAGCCCAAGTGACCATGTGAATGCAGGATGGGGGCGGCACCTGCAGGGAGACAGCTCTCCCCATTGCCTGCCTTGCTCATGTATTCACCTGTCCCCCAAGTGACCAGAAGGGGGAGCAACATTTCCACAGAACAATGTTTAAATTCACCTCTGAATTTTTTTTTTTTTTTTTTGAGGTGGAGTCTCACTCTGTTGCCCAGGCTGGAGTGCAGTGGCACGCTCACGGCCACCCCAGCGTTGAGTTGCTGGGCTCCAGAAACCCTTCTGCCTCAGCCTTCCAAGTAGCCGGAACTACAGGTGTGCGCTACCATGCCCGGCTAATTCTTTATTTATTTATTGTAGAGATGGGGGTCTTGCCAAGTTGCCCGGGCTGGTCTCGAACCCGCAGGCTCAGGCAATCCACTCGCCTCGGCCTCCCAAAGTGCTGGGATGACAGGCTGAGCCACCAAGCCTGGCCCACCTCTGAATATTTTTAACTACAAAGCAATGTGTACTCATTAAAGCAATGCTTGCCCATCTCAGTCCTGGGTAGGAGATACAATCGGTTGGGGGGCGGCCCACACCCCACATTGTTCTCTGTGCTTATGTCCTGAGTGTGAGGTTCAACTCTACCCTCACCCTTATGTTGAACCCTGAACGCTACCTTTCGGGTGGCTGACATGTCCTTCCAACTTTGCACCCTGGACCTGGTGGAGGGGCAGCAGTCATGAAGGGGAGAGCATTTATGTACACCCTCTCCGTCCTCCTTAGCTCCTCCTCCCTGTGGATGCAGCCTTTTGGGCCCAGGCAAGAGCCGCCTCCCGCTGTGGCACCATCCCGTCGCGCACCTGCCTTGGCAGCATTCATTCCCTCAGGCAGAGGCAGGAGAAAGGGACCCCAGGGAAAGAGGCCTCTCCACCCCAGGGTGATAGCTGACACACCCCAGGCTCTCGAAGGACGGGGCTATTTGAGTAGGCCAGATCCAGGATTTCACAGCAAGAGTGAAACTACTTCCTGATCATTTTGCAAATGATATAACAATATGGAATGAGTGGTCACACTAGCCACTGAGTGTCCAGAGTCTGCCGCCTCAGGAAGCATCTGATTCTCTGTAGGGGATTCCAGCCTCCGACTAGGTAGCTTCTGCAAGACTGTCAGTCCAGCTGTCAGTTCACACCAGGGAGTAGATCTTGAGGCGGTAAGGACCCTACGAAGGTGGTCAGTTCGTCTGTCCACAGCAGAGTTGAGCTGGGCCAGGGTCTGGAGCTGCTGCCCATCCATCTCCTAAGGTCCCCCTCTTCTGAGCCCCTTGTTCTGCCTTCTTTTGACTCTGGGTATCCCCAGGACCCGCCCAATACATTTCCTTTTGTTTAAATCACCCAAAGTCACTTTCTATAGGTTGGTTGTGACTGCAGAATGTTAATTTCCTGCAGAAGGAAACTAACACCCCACCCTCCTAATCCTAGCAAGTGTATGGTGGATGAGAGGAATCAAACAAATTGGGCATGTCCCTGCTGTCATTGTAGGGCCAAATTTAAGACAGAGAAGCTGCCACAGATGGAAGCAGTGTAATGTGCGGAATGTTTGGGGCGGAGGCTGGAGACCACTTCCCGAGGAACTAGCCATCCGTGCCTGCCCTGCCTCCCCCTCCCAGAGGACCTCTGCATCTGAATGGTGTGCTCCTTCCTTTTCTTTGCCACTCCTGACTGGACAAGCCCTTGAACACCTCCCAGTGTGAACTGGCCAGTCTAGTCCCTCACTGGGGGTTCCTGATGAAGGAGCAGGGTGGGGGAGATTTTGTGGTGGCCAGTGGGGATGACACTGCTTCAGAGTATTGCCCGTGTTCCTCAGTTGACCATGAGTAAGATCAAAGCCTCCAGACACCCTAAGGGATTGCCAGTCAGCCTCTGCTCCGTGGAAAGGTCATACCACATCACCCAAAGGCATGCACTCCAAGATAGGAGGTTCTGTCTGGAGAGAAGCTGTGGGGTTCTGCAGAGGTGTGATTTGCACAGGCATATGGGAAGACCAAGGAGCCACCAGGCCCCTATGCACCAGATGAACGGCAGGGGCCAGCTGCTCCTGTCCATTCCAAATTTGCATGAAGGAAACAAAAACTAAAAGCAAAATTGTCCTTTTGTTATCAACATAAATGATGGTTGAGACTATTTGGCGGGGCTGAATCATTTTAATTCATTGAATTCTTCAGCTCCAAGATTTTTGTTTGTTTCTTTTTTTCATGATATCTATCTATTTGCTGAATTTCTCATTCAGACCATACGTTGTTTTCCTTATTTCATAAACTGTCCATCTGTATTCTCTTGTATTCTGTATTCTCTTGTATAATCACTGTGTTCTCTTGTATACACAATAATAAGATTATTACTTTGAGTTCCTCTTTAGGCATTTCATCGATTTCCTTTTCTAGGGATCTGTTACTGGAGAATTATTGTGTTCCTTTGGAGGTGTCATGTTTCCTTGGTTTTTCATATTTCTTGGGTCCCTACAGTGATATCTGGGCATTTGGTGGAACATTCGCCTCCTCCAATTTTATGCATTAGCTCTTGTAGGGAAAGACTTTTTTCCGGTAGATGTGACCTATAGCATTGGTTGGGTAGGGTGCTTTGCCTTTGGTTCTGGATAGGCACAATACTGTAATCTCTGAGAGATTTATTTGGCTGTAATCAACGTCAGCAGTGTCTGTGAGTGCCTCACAGCCTAGACTGTGGGCGTTTGTGGAGGCTGTGGTGGAGTTTTTCTGCAAAGGAAAAGTTCTTGAAAGAAATTTAAAATGCTACTGCAGTGAATACATGAATGATAAGAAAGCTGAGCAGCCTTATTGCTGACATGGAAAAAGTTTTAGTGGTTTGCGCAGAAAATCAAATCAGCCACAATGTTCCCTTAAGCCAAATGTTCCCTTAAGCCAAAGTCTAATCAAGGCCCTGATTCTCTTCAATTCTGTGAAGGCTGAGACAGGTGAGGAAGCTGCAGAAGAAAGGCTGGAAGCTAGCAGAGGTTTGTGCGATTTAAGGAAAGCAGCCGTCTCCATACATAAAAATGCAAAGTGAAACAGCAAGTGCTAGCTGGGCACGGTGGCGCAAGCCTATCTTTCCAGCACTTTGGGAGGCTAAGGCAAGAGGATTGCCTGAGTTCAGGGGTTTGAGACCAGCCTGGGCAACTTGGCAAGACTTCATCTCTACAAAAAAAACCCAAAAAATTAGTTGCATGTGGTGGCACGCGCCTGCACTTCCTGCTACTTGTAATCTTCCAAGTAGAAGGATCACCTGAGCCCAGCAGGTCGAGGCTGCAATGGCCATGAGTGTGCTTCTGCACTCTAGCCTGGGTGACAGAGTGAGACCCCGAACTCAAAAAAAAAAAAAGAGCTCATCCTGTAATCCCAGTGCTTTGGGAGGCCAAGGTGAGTGGATTGCCTGAGCCTGTGGGTTCAAGACCCACATGGGCAACTTGGCAAGACCTCATCTCTACAATAAATCAAATATTAGCTGGGCATGGTAGCACTTGCCTGTAGTTCCAGCTACTTGGAAGGCTGAGGCGGAAGGATCGCCCGAGCCCAGCAGGTTGAGGCTGCAGTGGCCAGGAGCGGCCACTGCACTCCAGTCTGGGTGACAGAGTGAGACTCCAACTCAAAAAAAAAGAAAAAAGAAAAAAAGAAAGAAAAAAGAAACAGCAAGCACTGATAGAGAAGCTACAACATGCTATCCAGAAAATCTAGCTAAGATCATTGATAAAGGTGGCTACACTAAAGAACAGATTTTCAATGTAGAACAAACAGTTTTATATTGGAAGAAGATTTCATTTAGTACTTTCATAGCTAAAGAGGATAAGTCAATGTCTGGTGTCAAAGCTTCAAAGGACAGGTTGACTTTCTTGTTGGGGCTAATGTAACTGGTGACTTTAAGTTGAAGCCAATGTTACATGCCATTCTGAAAATCCTAAGACCCTTAAGAAATATGTTAAATCTACTCCTCTTGTGCTCTGTAAATGGAACAACAAAGCTTGGAGGACAGCACATCTGTCAGCACATGGTTAAACTGAATAGTTTAAGGGCACTGTTGAGATCTACTGCTGAGGAAAAAAAGATTCCTTTCAAAATGTTACTGCTCATTGATAATGACAAGAGTTTTGAGCCGGGCTCGGTGGCTCAGCCTGTAATCCCGTGCCTTTGGGAGGCTGAGGTGAGTGGATTGCCTGACCCCGCAGGTTCGTGACCTGCCTGGGCAGCGAGACCTCATCTCTACAATAAAACAAAAAATCAGCCGGGCATGGTAGCACATGCCTGTAACTCCGGCTACTTGGAAGGCTGAGGCAGAAGGATCGCCGGAGTCCAGCAGGTCGAGGCTGCGGAGGCTGGGAGTGGCCACTGCACTCCAGTCTGGGTGACAGAGTGAGACTCCAACTCAAAAAAAAGAGTTTTGAATGTTATTTTCATGTCTGCTGACACAACATCCATTCTGCAGCCTATGGATCAAAGAGTACTTTCAGCTTTCAAGTCTTACTATTTAAGAAATACATTTCATAAGGCTATAGTTGCCATAGATAGTGACTCCTCTGATAGATCTGGGCAAAATCAATTAAAAACCTTCTGGAAAAGATTCACCATTCTAGGTGCCATTTCAGAACATTCATGATTCATGAGAGGAGGTCAAATTATCAACAGTAACAGAAGTTTAGAAGAAATTGATTCCAACCCTCATGAGTGACTCTGAGAAGTTCAAGACTTCAGCGAAGTCACTGCAGGTGTGGTGGGGGAATAGCAAGATAACTAGAATTAGGTGTGAAACCTGAAGATGTGAGCAAATTGCTGCAATCTCATGATGAAACGTGAACAAATAAGGAGTTGTTCCTTATGGACGAGAAAAGGAAGGTTTTTAAAGATAGACTCTACTCCTGCTGAAGATGCTATGAATATTGTTGAAAACAAACGATTTAAAATGCTACATAAATTTAGAATATTACATAAATAATTGTTTGTGGATAAAGCAGCGACAGACTGTGAGAGGATTGACTCCAATCCAGCTTTGGGTAAAATGCTATCAAGCAGCATCACATGCTACACAAAAGTCTTTCAAAATGACAGGAGTCAATGGATGTGCCAAACTTCACTGTTGTCATATTGTAAGAAATTGCAACATCTAGTCAGTTGCCATCAACACTAAGGCAAGATTCTTCTCCAGTAAAAAGGTTATGGCTCACCGAAGTATTTGGTGATAATTAGCATTTTGTTTTGGCAATAAAGTAGCTTTGTTTGTTTTTGTTTGTTTTGTAAAGAGTAAAAAGGACCACAGACTTTATTAAAAGTGAGTAAATGCAACATTATTATGTACAGATGGCACATGGTGCCAATTTTATTTGCAGATATAATACTCCAACTCAAGTTTACATGTTACACCTTTGCCACAGCCTTGGCTAACTCGTGAACTAGTGCAGAGTTCAGCTGTGCTAGAGTGCTGATCTTAGCATGCTTAGATATGGCATACTTGTTCTTGATGGTCCTGTGCTTTGTAAGCCCACGATTTACCATGACTGTGTTCTTAGCCAGATGCTGCATAACAGGAAGAAGGAGTTCTTCAGTGTATGTCAGGTAATGCTGTAGAGTTGGGGTCCATTCACCATTATCCAGAATTTTCTGTGCTAAGCAAAAAGTTCCTACTGCAGTTTGGGAAGGAGGAAAGTGCACCATATCATCATCTAGCATAGTCAGTTCCATCAGGTATTTGGCCAAAATATGTTGCTCAATATCAGCCTCTCCAATCTTAGACATTCTCCGAAGGAAGTGTAGGAGTAGAAGCTGACCCAGACCAAAGTTTAAAGCTTTCAGAATCTTCATTTCCATCTGTCTGATTTGATGCTTAGTGTAAGTGTTGTCAGTCACCAAAGCAAAGTCACCAATTTCTGGAGGATACATTTCTTCACATTTGCTTGCAACAACATGGCAGTGATACCAACCAGCTGCAGCATCTTCTTGGGCACACGATTATTCTGCATGAAGCGATCGATAACAGAAACAGTCTTGTACATGGTCTCCTGCAGCAACCCGAATCTCATTTGAACCTGTACTAACCATCAATTAGGATGACTCACATGTTTCCAGTGACTTCCTGGCCCAGTAGGTATTTTGATCTGATTGCTTGCTCTTCCTTAAGCCATCTCAAATAAGTATAAAAAACTTTCACATGTTCACTACAGAGGTTTGGATATGCCCATCTTCTGCATCCACATCACTCCCAGTAAGAATTACATCCGAGAAAGCCTGACACAGATACTTTTCTGCAGGGCCACATCCAGATGTTTCCATTGGGCTTGGAGAGGGAGTATCAAGTATCAGCCAGAACAGGCTCAGGTGAAAGCTTTTCTTCTTGAACAGGCTCAGGTTCTGACTCAGGCTCGGGCTCGGGCACTGGCACTGGCACTGACACGGACACTGGCAGCTTTTCCAGAGGTTTTTAGCAATACCTTTTCCAGGAGCTGAATTTTTTTTTTTAAGTGAGAAAGCAGGGTTTATTAAGAGGACAGAAAAGCTCCCACAGTTGGCGGGGGGAGGTGGAAACTGCGGGGGTTGCCTTAAAGTTTTGTGGGGTTTTTTTGAGTTGGAGTCTCACTTTGTTGCCCAGACTGGAGTGCAGGGGCACGCTCCCAGCCACTGCAGCCTCAACCTCCTGGGCTCCCATGTTCCTTCTGCCTCAGCCTTCCAAGTAGCCGGAACAATAGGCACACACTACCACGCCTGGCTAATTTTTTTTTTATTGCAGAGACGAGGTCTTACCAAGTTGCCCAGGTGGGCCTCAAACCCACGGGCTCAGGCAGTCCACTCGCCTCGGCATCCCAAAGTGCTGGGATTACAGGCTGAGCCAACGACCCCAAACCACCTTAAAGTTTTTAATTTCTTTTTCAGAGGCATTTTGACCAGTAGCTGTTCACTGACTTTGTTGCCAATGTCTCTAAGAGCTGTTCTTGGCCTCAGCCTGGGCTTGGAGGCTGCAGCAGCCGCCATGGGCACACAATTTGCGCCTGCCATATTGACCTGCGCCTTAGTTTTGTGTTCCTGGTGACCCGGAGTGCCATGGCTTCCTCTTCCCGAGGCAACAGCTCGGCGGGGAGAAGCAGAACACCGGAGCCCCAACCAGCTGATGGCCTGAATCCACTAAAGACCAACAGCCATACCTCCGCAGCAACTTGTTTGTTTTTTGAGTTGGGAATCTCTCACTGTCACCCAGGCTGAAGTGCAGTGGCACAATCACGGCTCACTAAAGCTTCGACCTCCTGGGCTCAGGTGATTATCCCGCCTCAGCATCCTGAGTAGCTGAAACTACAGGGGCATACCACCACACCCGGCTAATTTTTTATTCTTTTTTTGAGTTAGAGTCTCTGTCACCCAGACTGGAGTGGCTTCCGGCCACCACAGCCTCGACCTGCTGGGTTCCAGTCATGCTTCGCCTCAGCCTTCCAAGTAGCTGGAACTACAGGCACGTGCTACTACGCCCAGCTAATTTTTTTTTTTTTTTTTTGAGTTGGAGTCTCACTCTGTCACCTAGACTGGAGTGCAGTGGCCGCTCCTGGCCACCGCAGCCTCGATCTGCTGGGCTCCGGTGATCCTTCCACCTCAGCCTTCCGTGTAGCTGGAACTACAGGCGCGTGCTACCACGCCTGGCTAATGTTTTAATTTATTGTAGAGATGAGGTCTCGCCAAGTTGCCCAGGCAGGTCTCGAACCTGCGGGCTCAGGCAATCCACTCACCTCGGTCTCCCAAAGCACTGGGATTACAGGCTGAGCCACCGAGCCGGCCCTTTTTTTTTTTTCTTTGTAAGGACAGGACTTCTCTATGTAGTCTAGGCTAGATAAGATATTTTAAAATTAAGTTGTGTGCTTTGTTTTGTTAGACACAATGCTATCACACATTTAATGGACTACTGTATACTGTGAACATAACTTTTGTATAAACTGGGAAACAAAAAAAAATTGTGTGACTCACTTTGTTGCAATCTTCCTTTATCATGATGGTCTAGAACCAAACCTACAATATCTCCAAGGTATGCCTATAATGACCTCTACTACTTTGCTTTTAATCATTTGCCTTGAATTTTTCCTTGATTCCCTTAACTCCTCTCTGATGTCAACCCATTTGTAAAAGGGAGACTGGAGAAGATACATCAAAATATTAACAATAGTAATCTGTGGGTTGTAAAAATATAGTTGATTTTAACCTTACTTCTATTTTTATTTTCTACAGTCTCCAAAATTTCTGTAACAACATGTACTACTCTTTTATTTATTTTTTATTTTTTGAGTTAGAGTCTCACTCTTTTGCCCAGGCTGGAGTGCAGTGGCACGTTCACAGCCACCGCAACTCTACCTACTGGGCTCAGGTGATCCTTCTGCCTCAGGCTTCCAAGAGGCTGGAATTACAGGCGTGCACCACCAGGCCTGGCTAATGTTTCTTGATTTATTGTACAGACAAAGTCTTGAATCCTTGGACTCAGGCAATCCTCTTGCCTCAGCCTCCCAAAGCACTGGGATTACAGATGTGAGCCACCATGCCCAGCCTACTACCTTTATAATGGAAAATCAATACTTTATTTTTTTTAATTATTATTATTATTTTTGAGTTGTAGTCTCACTCTGTCGCCCAGACTGGAGTGCAGTGGCCGCTCCCGGCCACCGCAGCCTCGACCTGCTGGGCTCCAGCAATCCTTCTGTCTCAGCCTTCCAAGTAGCTCGAACTACAGGCACGTGCTGCCACGCCCGGCTAATCTTTGATTTATTATAGAGATGAGGTCTCGCTAAGTTGCCCAGGCGGGTCTCGAATCCGCAGGCTCAGGCAATCCACTCACCTCAGCCTCCCAAAGTGCTGGGATTACAGGCTGAGCCACGGAGCCTGGCGGAAAATCGATACTTTAAAATAAGTTGAGAAATTCTGTTTTGTATAGTGTTTATAAAAATAATAACTCACCAGACTACTACCCTCCTCCTGTCTGACTGGTAAACTCATTTAAGCAATCCTATAAGGTGGGTATTTTTTATTGTGGCCAAAATAACTTTTTTGTTTGAATTTGATTTATCTATCTTTACTTCTTTATTTTTTAGTTTTCTTTGGATATTTGTATTTTCATTTAGAGGTCTCTAATAAGCAGCATACAATATTTTTAAAAATTAAGACATGTTTGTTGCAGAAAGAAGAGAAACAGCCTCAGCCCCACCTTCGGCAAAAATAATGGTTAAATATTTTTGTTTCCTTTCAATATTTCTCAACACGTGTTTCTAGCATACTCTGTATGATTCTGCATATCTACTTTCTCTTAATAGCATAGCAAATTTTTTGGTATATTACAAATTTTAATAAGCACACTTTTTTTCACATCTGCCAGTATTTCAATTAGATAAATATACCTTAGTTTAGTTAAGCCTATTGGTCAATGTTTCAATTGCTTTTATGCTTTCAGTATTTTAAACAAGAATGCAGTAAACACTTTTTGTGTAAAAAGCTTAGTTAGGATGCCATTCCCTGGGCCAGACTGGCAAGGCACAGCACCCTGAAGGCCTCTTGCCAGAGTCACACCAAGTTCTGGGAGGACCAAGGTCATCAGCCACTCCCGGCTCTCTGGGATTACGGTCAGCAGCCTCTGCCACAGAGCAGGCAGGAGCGGGTCCTCACCAAGCCGAGGCCCAGAGCCCTCCAGCGTCCAGGACAGGAGGTCACCCAGTGACCAGCAGGAAGGGCAGCAGGTGTCCACAGGAAATTCCAAAGTCCCAGAGCAGAAGCAGGGTGGGACAGGGTTGGGGCAGATCGAACTGAGGCTCCCCAGAAACCTGCGGTCATTTAAGATGAAGCGTGATCTACTCAGGTTTCGGTTTAATAACCCTTGTCTGGGCTGAGGTGCAAGTGGATTCGCAGATGTAGGTGGAGGCAGAGAGCCGGGAGGAGGCTGTTGGTTGCACAAAGATCCAGGAGGTAGCTCAAGGTGGTTTATCCAGGGAGAGAGGGAGATAGAGTGAGGGACAGACATAAGGGTGAGGGGAGAGAGGAGTTTGGGGTGACTCAGGCCTGCAGCTCAGGTGACCAGAAAAACATAAAGCTGGAACACAAATGAATGGGGTCAGGACGGGTAGGCTCCTGAGTTTGAAGTGAGGTCACAGCGTCCCTTGTAGGTAACTCTGCAGAGCACCAGCCTAGGGACTGGCCGAAACAGTGCCCTGGAGGTCAGTTGGGGCTGGCGAGTTAATGCTCAGCACACAGGGCTGTCCTGTGGGTTCTACTAAGGGGTAGAGCACAGGGGCTTCAGCAAATGAAGGCCACTGAGTCTGCGGGAAGGATGAGGCCAGCGAGGGAGAAACCCTAACCACCCAAGACCGGGATGGGGCCTTTGGGGCGGCCAAGCTCAAGGAGACCATGAGATCCGAGGAGGAGCAGCAGGAGAGGTGGAAGAAAGGCAGACAGATGAGGACATATGAGCTGTCGTAAAGGCCAGCAGGAGGGAAAGGTTAACCATACAAAAAAGGGGGACGTTGGAGGAAGAGGCCAAGCCAGGTGGAGGTGGAAGCAAGCTGAGCTGGGGCGGGGCCAAGCCGGGGGAGGGGAGACTGAGCCAAAGGGGGCGGGACCAAGCCAGGCAGAGGTAGGGCCATGCCAGCTGGGCAGGTGGACAGGGCAAGTGTGAGGGCAGTGGGAGCCAGGCATGGAGAATTCCCACCTGACTGAGAGCTAGAGGATGATGGAGGAGGTGGGTGGGTGACCCGCATCTCCATGGGGCAGCTGTAGGGCCCTGAGGGCCATATTGCAGATGCCTGAGCACAGAAAGTGTGAGTTTCAAATGTACACACCCAAGGGGGCTAACTGCCTCTTCACAAGTTTGTCTTATTTTGCAGGGAATTTTATTCATAAATGTTCTTTGTCTTCTTGGTCAATGGCATGTTTCAGCACGCAGGTTAACAAGTTGCATTTCCATCATGTAACTGGTCTGGGGCCTCAGATCAATTTGTGCTGTTCACATGCTAAAAGTCTGAATTGTTTATTGACTCCTGCCACAGGGAGTCCATTTTTCTGTTTGTTGGCTCACAGAGTCAACATTTGAGTAGAGGTGTGTGGCTTTTATGGACGGTACTTTTACATCTTGACCTCATTTGTCTACGTTCCTTTCTCTGCATTCACAGGCTTCACCTGTTGTCTTCCTGGTGTTGCACGCATCAGGGCTCCGATGGAGGAACCCAGGCCCACCCTCAGACCGTGCTGACCCCTGCCTTAGAGGGCCATCCGAGAAGCCTAGAAGGGAATCTTGCTGGGCGTCAATCGTCAAAGGGCACGATGGAAAATAGTCATGTACTTTCTGTGCAGATGTTTGCTGTTGCTGCTGGAATGTCATTCTGTCACCCAGGCTGGAGCGCAGCGTATACTCACCATCACTGTTATCTTTGACCTTCTAGGCGCAGCTCAATCCATCTAGCTTTCCAGTGGCTGGAACCACAGGTATGCACCACCACACCCAGCTAATTTTTTTTTTAATTGTAGGGATGAGATCTCACCAAATTGTCCAGGCTGGTCTCAAACCCCTGAGCTCAGGCCATCTTACTTCCACCTCCCAAAGTACTGGGATTACAGGCGTGAGCCAGTGCACCCAGCTATCTGTAAATTTTTTTTTTTTTAGTTGGAGTCTCATTCCATCACCAGGCTGGAATGCAGGGGCAAACACACTCACGGCCACCCCAGTGTCAACCTGCTGGGCTCCAGCAATTCTTCTACCTCAGTCTTCCAAGTAGCTGGAACTATAGGCATGCACTACCCCACCAGGCTAATTTTTTTTCATTTATTGTAGAGATGAGACTCACCAAGTTGCCTGGGCTGGTCTCGAACCCATGGGCTCAAGCAATCCACTCACCTTAGCCTCCCAAAGTGCTAGGATGACAGGCTGAGCCACCAAGCCTGGCCTGTGTAGAATTTTTTTAAACACCAATTTTAAGATGAAAGTAGGTTGCTTTTCAAGTTCATTTCCTCTCCATCCACCCTGATCTGGGCCCACCAGCCCCCCTCTCTTACCAGTTCCCCAACCCAGTACATGTGGAAGGGTCACCCAAGAGAAGGCCAGCACCTTCCCTCTCTGGCTTCAGCTTCCTCTACAGCCAATCAAGTGTATTTTGGAAGAATCCCAAGGGGGCCTCAGATGTGGACTTTGAATGAGGCCCCAGGGCCGCACTGCTGGGACCCCTGCATTATCTCCAAAAGCACTGAAGGGGTGCGACTACTCTCAATTCCCCCAACCCCAGGACCCTGTATCTCCACCCCCACTGCCATGGACAGCATTGGGCCCTGGCCCCCTGTCCCGGCGCACCCTACAAACAGCCAGGGTCACACCAAGCAGAGAGTTTATTGAGGCCATGGGCAGGGCCCACGTGCACAGCGTGGGGCACACGTGGGGCAGATACACGCTGGGCTGCAGGGGTGTGTTAGCAGCAGCAAAGCCGACGACAGTGTGGTGGGGCCTGGAAGGGCACCTTCTCCTAGCAGCGTCTGGGGCTCCAGGTGAGCGTCGAGAACCACTTCCAGCCTCCCCAGGGCTCTTTTGGGCGCTCCCCACCTCCCCCTGAGCTCACGGGGTGTGGAGTGGGGGGTCCCCCTGGTCAAGGATGGGCTGATCCCTTGAGATTCACTATAAAAATTAAAACTCCTTTATAAATCACAGAGGAGGGGCAGAGGGGATCATCTGAAAGCCTAACATCACCAGGCACCTAGAGCCTTGCCTTCCTCCACGCCCCAAAGTTCTGACCCCAAAGAAAAGAGCAAAGGGCAAAGTTTGCAGGCACAGAGAGACACGAAAAGAGAGAAAAAGATCATGGGACAGAGGAGGACGACAGAAGAATGGATCTGAGGAAAGTGGGGGCACCAGGGTTCTAGGCCCCCGTGCCCCCACAGCCGTGCCCTAGGGATTGAGGACAAGAGCTCCCAGCCTGAAGACTCTCACAGACGTAAGGTCCCACATGCCCCAGCCCAGTCCTCGCCGAAGCCAGGGTGGCTGCCTGAGATGCCCAGCCCGGCTGCGCCCGGAGCCGACGGGGCAGGAGCCAGACTGTGGCAGGCCGGCTACTCCAGGTAGATGTCCTCTGTGGGGCAGGCGTAGGCCAGGTGCTCTTGGTAGTACTCCAGGAAGGCGCGGCTGGGGGAGTGGGTCAGTGGGTGCTCGCCCAGCCCTCAGGCCAGTCCTCAACCCGAACTGCCTCTGCTCTCCTCGCCTCCCCCACTGTCCACACCCCCCCACCCAGGCGTGGCCACATCACCCCACAACGTCGTCCCTCCGCTCTCCTGGCCCACTGTGTCCACACCACGCATCCTGACCCTCCGGCGACAGCACTCCACCCCACCTGTCTCTGACCTGGAGTCCCTACACCCTCATGCTCAGCCTTCCCTCGCCCTGCCCTCTCAACTCAGCGTTTCCAGGTCTCCTCCCCAGGTCGCGCCTGCACCTCCCTGTTCACCGCGCCCCCACCTTTGCACCCTGTTCCAGCTCTGCATCCCGCCCCGCTCCCGGACCCCACTCACCCCACGCTCTGTGCCACGGGCCTCATGGACTCCTGGGAGACAAAGACATGGCAGGCGAAGCGGCTCAGCAGGGGGTGTTTGGTGATGAAGCCAAAGTAGCTGCGGGGCAAGCCGGTGCAGAGGGCGCGTCAGAGCCCCACCCGGCCTTGGCCCCCCACCCAGATGACTGTGAGAGCACGGCGGAAACTCAGGGCTTGGGAGGAAGCAGGGGACAAGAGTGGGGGCCACACAGTTTCAAGGTGTGTAGGTGCCTTTTGATCCCAGCCCAAGCGCAGCGCTGGGCACCTCAAGGAGTTAGCATTCTGAGGGGATCCCTTGATGTCCATGCTGTGGACACAGCCTCCTTCCACAAGCTGGCACTACCTCCCTCTATTGCCCTGGCCAGAGCCTGCCCCAGGACCACGGAGCAAGGCCCCTGCTGCGACCTCTGGACACCATGTCCCCTGCTGACGCGCCTCCTCCTGTGGGAATGAATGGCCTCACTTCTGGTCCTGCAACTCACAGCACTTTCCCACTCAAAGGACAGCCGGGAAATCACCCCGATCTGTGAAACCCGCTTCTATTCCATCATTTGCTCCAGCTGGAGAAGCAGCTCCACCCTGGTCCTCCACAAACTGCCACTGCCCAGCTCTTCTGCTTATGCCTGTCATCTTCCCATCCAAGACGCTAATGCAAATTATTGTCCAAAGGGCATGCAGACTCTTGCAGCCTGAGACTCCAGATCTCCACCTGCACCCAAAAACCGTGACCAGTCCCACCCATTCTTCTATGGCTTTGGGGTTCTATGATACCACCAGATGGGAAGCCACGTGACGGTATCATTGCCAGGACAATGTGCTCGTGTTGTCCATGAACACAGCACAAGACCTGTGTCAAACACTGTGTTCAGGTCATTATGATAGTAATCACTAACACTTAGATGTTGCTAAGTGTTATGAAAGCACCATCCTCAGCATTTTATATTATTAACTCACACAAACCTTACAGCTGCTCTATGAGGTAGTTGCGCTGACAGAGAGCTAAGTACAGAGAGGGTGGTATCTCACCAAAGGACACACAGCCAGGCTGTGGCAGCCCTGAGAGTAAAGATGTGGTCTGTGACCCTCACACTGCACATCCTAACGCCTACCTCATCCCAACAAGCATGTCCCGCACACCCTGCACACCCCGGACTTACGCCTGCTCCACATGAGCCAGCCACTTGCCTCACGCTGTTTCCACAGGGTCTCCTCACAGCGAGGGACAGTGCTGGGTTCTGGAGCAACAACTCCAGGGAGGTCTGGGCCCAGATGGCCGCCCCTCAGCCTCCCCACCCCCGCCTCCGCATCTCAGCTCCAAACCACTCATTTGACAACTTTCCCTCGTGAAATTCCAGCCAGGACCATGTCCAGCCCGAAGGCCCAAGCCTGTGAGAAATGCGGACTGTTTTTCCTCTCCTGGTAGTATCCAGAGGCCACGGCAGGGGCTTGCTCCATGGTCCTGGGGTAGGCTCTGGCCAGGGCAACAGAGGGAGGCAGAGCCAGACTGGGGGAGAAGGATGTGTCCACAGCATGGGCTGAAAGCCTCTGGTCGTCCTTAACCCCCCTGTCACTGAAGTCGCAGAGCTGGCTGTGCTGTCTTGTCTGAGTCCCTGCTGCTCAGACTCGGCTCCCCACCCTCTGAGCAGCATCTCAACAATAGATCCCATCAAACCATAGTCCCTCCTCAACAGAGAAGATGCAAAATGGCTCCAGATCTTCGCCAGCACAGAGTCCTCCTCATTCTCTCTTTCTCTCTCTTTCTATTATTAATTTTTTATCTATCTACCTATTTCTTTCTTTCTTTATTTTGAGTCAGGGGTCTCACTCTGCTGCCCAGACTAGAGTGCAGTGGCATGATCACAGCTCACTGCTGCCTCGCCCTCCTGGGCTCAGGCAATCCTACAGGCATACAATACCATCCCTGGCTAATTTTTAAGTTTTTTGTAGAGATGAGGTCTCACTATGTTGCCCATGCTCCTGGGCTCTCGAACTCCTGGGCTCAAGTAACCCTCCTGCCATGGCCTTCCAGAGTGCTGGAATTATAGGCATGAGCCACTGTGCCTGGCCCTTATTTTTACTTTATTTTTTGAGTTGGGGTCTCACTCTGTCGCCCAGGCAGGACTGCAGTGGCACAGTCACAGTTTACTGCAGCCTTGACCTTCTGAGCTCAGGTGATTCTTCTGTCTCAGCCACCCAAGTAGCTGGGACTACAAGTGCACACCACCATGCCCAGCTAATTTTTTTATGTTTATAGAGACAAGGTCTTGCTATGTCGCCTAGGATGGTCTCAAATTCCTGGGCTCAAGCAATCTTCTTGTCTCATCCCTCCAGATTGCTGGGACTACAGGCATGAGCCACTGCACCCAGCCCCTCCTCACTCTCTTGACCACAAGGGTCCAGATGACCTGAGATGCTCTTAACATGTGTCACAAGCCTTAGTTCTGGCAGCATCGCATCCAACCTGTGTCCCACTTGCACATGAGGCTCTGCTTCCTCCAACTCCCCCTCCAGCCCATCCTTGAGCCTCTGGAGGGCTCTGGTTCTTTGGTCCCTCCTCTATCCCAGCCATCTAGGATACTGGGGCCCAGTGAGCAGGGGTGTGCCTGGGGTGGGATCTTGCAGCCCCTTCCCCAGCCCCCACTGCTCCTCTTCCTCCCCTTTTCCTCCCACCCTGCCTGGCCATCTCACCCAGCTCATGGTCTCAGTTGCCTGCCCAATCTGAGCTGTTACCTTCCCTCCAGGTCTCCCTTCCAAATCCAGACTCATGTAGCCAATGGCCACTGCAGTCTCACCTTGTCTACATTGACCCCAAATCTCCCTCTCTCAGCATGTGGGTCACCGTGTACCCACCATTCCATGGACCCCACCGCGGACCTCCTCCAAGTCAGCCTCTGCAACCAATGACCCGGGGCCTACCTCTCCCACCTCTCACATCTCATACTTTCCGCCATGACAGGGCACCGGGCAACCTTGCAGCCTCCTAGCCTTCTACCTGCAGCGCCTGGCGCAGTTCACTCTGTATAACAGCCAGCGCTGCTTTCAAGCTGACCGTGTCACACCCTTCCATAGGGATCTCTGAGGTCCCATCGCCAGCTGAGTTAAGCACAGTTCCGTGGCAGCATCACAAGGGCTCAGGTCTCCACACACACTCCTAGCTGCTCCCCTCACACCCAGCACCCCCAGTGCACCCACCAGCACACCAACAGCCTTGGCTCAGCTGGAGCCCTGCAAAGAAGATCCATCTCCCCAGCCTGTCACCTGCTGTTGCTCCTTCCCAGGCTAGCCTTCCTGGGTCCTGGGAGACTTGCCCAGGAGACTGCAGGTCGCCGGGCACCCCAGACCACCCATAGCGGCTTCCAGCACTCCCTGCCTCCTCACTCAGACCAGACAGCAGACCATCTGATCCACGCCTCTCAAGTCCTGCTCAGAGTAGGGGTGGGTGCAGGTGGCATGCATGGTGGGGCAGGAAGGCGGCTATGGTCAGCCCCCGGATTGGTGGGGACTCTGGGGGAGGGGAGGTGCTCACCAGCTGTTACGGGGGTGGCAGCCACAGAATGAGATGTTCTTCATCTGAAAGAAGTGGCTGCAGCGCTGGAACCAGAGCAGAGGTGGGCAGAAGCCCCTGAGTCGGGCAGAGGAGGCCTGGGCTACTCCTGCCCCCTCCCCACTGCAGACACCCCCACCAACTTGTCCCTTGGCCGAACCTTCCTGCCTTACCCTGCCCCACTCCTCCACCCCTCTGCCCCCCACACCCCTACCTCAGGTCCTCCTCCACTCAGACTTAGCTTGACCCCCCGAAGAGAGATCTCCAGGTCACAGGAGGCTGGAGGACGCAGATGGACAGTCAACTTCCGGGCAGTGGCAATCTAAGGGAGAAGTTGGGGGAGAAGAGGGTTTGAGGGGCCCAAAGGGTCTCTTCCTCTTCCCTCAGAGGAACTATGCTCCTGCTCTTTTTAGGCTATGTTTGAAGACACTTGGCGTCGAAGACCCATGAGATAGGATTCTGGAAGATGCAAGAGGATGGCCTTGGCCATTCCTTGGTCTCAGGGCGAGCCAGTCATCTCTCTGCACTCAGCCTGCTCTGTCTTTCTTCGTTTCTCCAGCCAGGCTGCCTCTCTTGGCTCAGGTGCCAGGAACACAGCACTTCAACTCAGCGTGGCCTCCTTACTGCTTGGCCCAAGGGCTCAACAGGTGCTCTTGCACACAGAGCTGCTCTGCCCTGCTCCCAGTTGCCCTCCAGCCTCAACCGCAGGACTGGCAGTTGTGAGCCAAATGTCCTCTGAGTGAAGGAAGGAGTGAGCAGATCACTGCTAGGGAAGGGGCTGTGAGAACTAGCCTTGATCTTCAGACAGGAAGAGGACAGGCAGACAGGAGAAGGGGCCAGCAGGAAAGTGAGGGCCCCACTGAATTGGCCAAGAGACACAAAACTGATGGGCGGCAGCTGCCGAGCCCTTCCCTGGGCCTGTCTTCCCAGGCCTCCGAATCGGGAAGCGGTGCCCACTCTGAGCAGCTCCTGCAGCATCCCCCAAACCCTCCCTGGAGGAAGTCAGAGGCCTCTGATCCGCAAGGAGCTGTGCCAGCCCACAGTGCTGCTGTGAGCTGCCACACAGCCCCTTGGCCTATGCTCACCCCACTCCACACTGACCTTCTGCATGGCCGCACACAGGATGCCATTGCCCTGGTGACAGGGCACCTCCACAGAGCCCAGGAACTGCACATCGAAGCGCTCCACCCAGCAGGGACTCCTCTTGCTCCCTGGGGGCACAGAGGGCCCAGGTCAGGGGGGTGGCGGGGGAGGGCCTGCAGTGACGAGCGGCCCCTCGGTGACGGCTCACCCAGCAGGTCCTTGGCAGGTCCAGGCACTGCGTGCGCGTAGAAGGCAGGGAATACCCCGCGCTCCCCTGTGCGCATGTTGAAGCCCCGGCACCAGAAGTCGTCCTCTTCGGCCTCCACCAGCACGGGATCATCCACGTCCAGCTCCAGCTCGTCCGGATGCCGAGGGATGAACCTGAGGTCAAGGAGAGGCCACTGGGGCGGGGCGGGGCTGGGGCTGTGTCCACTGTGTCCTGCCACGCCTGCAGGCCAGTGTCCGTCACCGATAGCAAGGAAGGAGGCCGTACCTGAAGACAGCCCGGTGCGTCTGCTCACGCTCCTCCCCATTGACAAGACAGGAAAAAAGGCCAAAGGACTCGGTGCCTGAGAGGCAGGGACAGAAGACACAGAGCTGGAGAGAGGGGAGAGCAACTCCAGGGAGGGAAGGAGGAGCTTGCAGGCCTGGCTCTGGGTGGCGAGTCCACCCCCAGCAGTCAGGTATGGGTGTCTCCAACAGGGAGGGAAGGGGAACCTGCCTGGGGCTGAGGACAGAGCAGGCCCTGCTCCCCGTCCGGAGGGGTCCTGAGAGGACTGAGTGCTGGGTAAGACCTCCACCAGACCCTCAGGCAGCCTCAGGCACCTTGGGGACCAGATGGGCCAGGGGCCAGGAGTCCGCCCCTCCTCTGAGGCCGCCCCACCCCCCAGCTCTCACTCACTGGAGGAGCGAGATGTGCTGTTGACAAAGACGTTGAGGAACTTCTTGGAGAACGTGAGGTCAGGGCTGTCGGGAGAGGCGTCCCCGGGAACCTGGCCACCGCCCAGGAGCGCAGCCCCCACCTCCTCCTCGCTGACTTCGCCGCCGCTGTCCTCCTCGCT